GGGACCTTGAGCTTGTGAGGCAGACAGAACCTTTGAGCCAAATCCTTGGTCCTATTTTTAACGTTTTAAGGAACCACCAAACCATTTCCCACAGCTGTCTTTCCATTCTTTTTCATAATATTAAGCACCTTCTGTTTTATATTTTTTCTTCTTATTGGTTACATTAGCTGATTGCTTTCATTTTTTTCACTGAAGCATCATCTCTCTGAAATTGAGATATCACTCTTACTGTTTTTGAAATGTTCTAAATTACCATTTTATTTTGTCTTTATTATTCCTTTTTTGAAATTTGTTTTCCATAATAGCCATACTAATTTACATTCCCACCAACAGTGTGCAAAGGTTTGTTCCTTTTTCTCTATGTCTTTGCCAGCCCTTATTTTTTTGGCAGTAACTGTTCTTACTGGATTGAAGTGTTATCTCATTGTGGTTTTGATTTGCATAGTTCCCTGATGATTAGTAATGTTGAACATTTTTCATATACCTGTTGGCAATTTGAATGCCTTTTTCAAAGAAATGTCTGTTTAGTTGTGTTGTCCATTTTTTCATTGAGTTATTTGGTGCATTTTGGTACTGAGTTTTTTGAGTTCCTTATATATTCTGGATATTAACCCCTTGTCAGAAGTGTAGTTTACAAATGTTTTCTCTCGGTCTGTAGATTGTCTCTTTATTCTGCTAACTGTGTCCTGTACTGAGAAGAAGCCTTTTAGTTTGATGCATTCCTATAAAAAATTGTCAATTTTTGCTCTTTTCCCTTTGTACTTTTTGAGTCTTATCCAAAATATCCTTGCCTATTCCAGTGTCTTGGATCAGTATTTCCTCTATAGTAGATTCATAATTTCAGCTCAAACATTTAAGTGTTCAACACATATTGAATTGATTTTTGTTAACTGGTAAAAGATCAGAGTCTAGTTTCATTATTCTGCTTATGGATGTACATTTTCTGCAACACCAAAGACTGTCCTTTCTCTACTACCTGTTCTTAGTGACCTTGTCATTAGTCAGTTGATGTAGATGTGTGGGTCTCTTCTAGAACCTATTCTGTTCTGCTGGTCTATTTTTGTTCCAGTACCATGCTGTTTTGATTACTCTAGCTTTGTAGTATATTTTGAAGTCAGGTAGTGTAGTGCCTTCCTGCTTTGTTTTAGTTCAAGAGAGCATTGCCTATTCAGAGTCTTTTGTGGTCCCATACAAATTTGAGAATGCTTTTTCTAGTTCTATGAAGAATGTTATTAGTATTCTGATGAGGATTTCCATGTTTTTATGTGTATATTCTTCAGTTTCTTTCATTAGTGTTTTATAGGTTTCATTATGGTTATTTTTCATCTCTCTCTTTCACTCTCTCTTTTTTAATGTTTTGATAGAGTCTTACTTTCTAGTTTAGACTGGCCTTGAACTCACTGTGTAGTCTGGGCTGGCCTTGAACTTGCGGCGATCCTCCTGCCTTAGCCTCCCTAGTGCTGCGATTACAGGTATGTGCCACCAGACCCAGCTTCTTTCATCTTTTTTATTATATTTATTCTCAGGTAGGTTATTTTTTCATAGCTATTATAAATAGGATTGTATTTTTGATTTCTAGTTCAGATAATTTGCTATTTGTGTATTAAAAAGGTGATTTTTTTTTTTTTTTTTTGATATGAGGATCAAACTTGGGACCTTGTGCTTGCGAGGCAGCACCACTGAGCCAAATCCCTGGCCCAGAAAAAAAACATTTTTGTATGTGGATTTTATATCCCCTCACCTTTGCTGAATTTGTTTATTAGCCTAATAATTTTTTTATTTTCTGTATTTAAGAGTATGTTATCTACAAATGGTGACAGTTTGATCCCGCTTTTCCAGTTTGGATATACTGTATTTCTTTCTTAAGTCTGATTCCTCTGTCTAAGACTTCCATTGTAGTTTTGAATAAAAGCAAAGAAAGTGGCATCTTTGTCTTGTTCCAAATCTTAGGAAAAAAAACTTTCAACTTTCCCTCATTAAATAGTATATTAAATGTTTGCTTATGGTTATTGGTACTAGGGATCTGTTGGCTTATTAGCAGACTTAATGACGTTAAAGTATATTCCTTCAATATCTAATTTGTTCAGAATTTTTGTCATGAAAGGATGTTGAATTTTATCAAATGCCTTTTCTGCAGTTGGTTTTATCATATTTATTGATTTAAGTATATTGAGGCAACCTTGCTTACCTGGGATTAATGCCAAATAGGCGGAATTTAAAAGATCAAAATTACCTATGGCTTGCAGCAAGGGATAGATGGAAGTACTTTTATGTACTTTGTACAGTAATGGTATTTGGTAAAGACTTAACCATGTTTCCCCCAAAATAAGATCTAGCTGGAAAATAATCAGCCTTGAAAACTAGAGATAAAAAACGCCAGCCCCAATCAGCCCAACCTTGCCTTACCTGCCTAACAGAGTAACCTCTGATCAAGAGAATAGTGATGGCAGGTAAGGCAGTACTGATATCCTGGGAAAAGAGATTTCTAGTCTGAGAAAATAGGGACTGTTCTGTATGTCCAGGAAATAGCAAGGAGTCCAGTTGTCTACAGCCGAGTAAACAGGTAAGCAGGAGATGAGGTCAGTGGTAGGGAAGGCTGTGCTGTGTATAGCCTATTGGCTATTTTAAGGGTAAAGCTTACTAATCTGAGAGGGGAAGCTGTTGAGGGGTTTTAAGCAGAATGAAATAATCTCTTGCACACATGTATTTCAGTTACTGTTTTTTCAGTTCTAGAGTATCCATTTTACTTTTTAAGAATTTTATAACCCTCTGGTGAATTTTTCCATCTTTTCATCTGCGTTATCCATTTATAATGACTTAAAGTTGGATTACTTTTAGATCTGGGTTCTTAGCGTATGGAATGATATCAACTTCTAGGCATGCTCAGTAATTCTGTATTAAATTCCTAGCATTGTGTATAAAAGTTACATAATCTTTCACCAATAGGCAGTTAGAGGGAGCGCTGAGTAAAAGTTCCTTTGTAGTTTTGGTAAGGCTCAGATTCCCTTTAATTTGCTTAGCTTCTAGGTGCTAGCCCTTCAGAGTTTTCATTTAAGAACCTGGCATGTTTACTGGGGTCCTTTGCATGGCTGTTCCTGAGTTTAAATCTCTTATCTCCTTAACATGGCAGTGCCCCCTGCTATTCTTTTTAGGGACTTTCTGCTTAGTTACTTAGCCTTCTGTCATATGTAGCTTTAGAATCTAGCAGACATCCTAAGAGGGACAAGTTCCCCATCTTTCTCTTCAAATTCTAATCCTAGATTCTCAGGTCCCCAGTTTTGTTTTGTGAGCTCAATATAACCAAAAGCTTTGGTAGTTTATCTTTAAGCAGTTACTGTCTGAATAGGCAGATTTTGATTCTCAGCCTCCTACTCTATGCTTAGAATTGGCAGATATACCCGAGGGAAAAGCAACTTCACAATGTCAGCTTACCTCTCTGTAATTCCTTCCTCCCTACTGTCATTATTCAGTTGCCTGGTTTCCTTCAGTATTCTCCAGTGCTTTTAAACAGATTACAAAAACTATCTGTACTTTCTAGTTATTCTTGGCCAGAGCATTGGTGTCCTAAGCACTTTTTGTGTCTCTGGGACAAAATATCTGACACTTGCAACTTAAAGAGGGTAGGTTTATTTGGGCTCATGTTTCAGCCTTCTCAGTCCTTGCATGGGCTGCGGCTACAGGCAGAAGCAGCATGGAGGAAGGCACTTGTGGACAAAAGCTGCTCACCTTATGGCAGACAGGAAGCAGAAAATTAAGGAGAAATGAAATAAGCCCTTCCATGTCATGCCTATAGTGACCTACATCTTCCCACTTCCATATAGCAAGTCAGTTGTATTGCCCTCATAATCCAGTCATCTTCTAAACACATGATGCTGTACTGGTGGTATAGGGGTGTGCATAACTGCCTTCCAAACACTTGATGCTTTGGGGGTCATTATAGATACAAACCATAATAATTGGTCTGTCTCAAAGCTACTCCGTCTGACTCAGAAGAGACGCCTGACTTAAACTTCAGAAGCTTCATTTACCTACTTCATTGAAATAGGCAGTAGTGGGGGTAAAGGTTGAAAGCAGATAAACCCCTAGTGAGGCTCTTTCAGTGACCCCTGAGTTGATGGCTTAGACCAGGGTTGTAGTAATGGAGTGGGAAAGCTAGTTGGGTTATGGATATATTTTGTGACAATAGGGTTCACCAATGGAATTTGGAGTGTCAGAGAGGAAGGACTCAATGAAGGCCCTCAAGGATCTAAGATGGTGGCAAACCAATCGCATGCATGTTGTTTTTCTTTTAAGACAAAAGATGTTAATGTATGAATTGTTTTTTCTAAACTAACACCTCAGTATTAAGATTTAATTGCAGTGTTGGTACTTTGCGATGAATAAGTGGGTTTTGGGTTGTGGGTTGGGCGCTCATCTCTAAAAGAGTCATCATCATTGATCTAGGAGGATGATGGATTGCTATTTATTGAGATGAAGAAGTCTCCAGGAGGAACAGGTTTGAGTTCTAAGGTGGTTATGGTAGATTAGGAGTTCAAGTTTAGATATGTAGACTTCGAAATGCCTGTTAGGTATCCTTGTGGTAAGGCAAAGAGAGTACTGTAATTGTATGTATGAGTTCAGGGAAGAGTTCTAGGTTGGAGATGAAAATTTGGGAGTCACTGTGATATCAGAATCTAAAGGGAAAAGGAACAAGTGAAGAAATCACTATTAAAAAAATTTTTTTTTAAATTTTGGAAATTTAGATGGATAGGAAAGTTGCAAAGATTGTTAAGGAAAGTTTCTATAGGCCTTCACCTATTTCTCCCTAACGTTAATAAAACCACGAATTTATCAAAGTTAAAATATCAACATTGATACAGTACCATGAATTCAACTTCAGACTTCATTTTCCTTTCACTAATTTGAAATCATTAACTGTAGTATAAGATGGAAGTTTAGAAACATTTTATAAATCATCTGTACAAGTTTTTGATTGTTTTTTCTTCTCCCTGTATAGGACTAATGGCTGAAGAATAAATCAACATGGCAACTATGGTTCCACCAGTGAAATTGAAATGGCTCGAACACCTGAACAGCTCCTGGATTACAGAGGACAGTGAATCTATTGCTACAAGAGAAGGAGTTGCTATCCTGTATTCTAAACTAGTTAGCAATAAGGAAGTAGTACCTTTGCCCCAACAAGTTTTATGTCTCAAAGGACCACAGTTGCCAGACTTTGAACGTGAGTCTCTTTCAAGCGATGAACAGGACCATTATTTGGATGCCCTTCTTAGCAGCCAGCTAGCGCTAGCAAAGATGGTCTGTTCAGATTCTCCTTTTGCAGGGGCACTTCGAAAACGACTGCTTGTACTCCAGCGTGTCTTTTATGCACTTTCTAATAAATACCATGACAAAGGCAAAGTGAAACAGCAGCAGCATTCTCCGGAGAGCAGCTCTGGTTCAGCAGATGTCCATTCTGTTAGTGAACGACCTCGGTCAAGCACTGATGCACTTATAGAAATGGGCGTTCGAACTGGTCTAAGTTTATTATTTGCACTTCTGAGACAAAGCTGGATGATGCCTGTGTCAGGACCTGGCCTTAGTCTTTGCAATGATGTTATTCATACTGCAATTGAAGTTGTGAGCTCCTTGCCGCCATTATCTTTAGCAAATGAAAGCAAGATTCCTCCTATGGGATTGGACTGCTTATCACAAGTAACAACATTTCTTAAAGGAGTAACTATTCCCAATTCTGGGGCAGACACTTTAGGTCGTAGATTAGCTTCTGAGTTGCTGCTGGGTTTAGCAGCTCAGCGAGGCTCATTGCGGTATCTTCTTGAATGGATAGAAATGGCTTTGGGGGCTTCAGCAGTTGTAAATACCATGGAGAAAAACAAACTTCTGTCAAGCCAAGAAGGAATGATCAGCTTTGACTGCTTTATGACTATATTAATGCAGATGAGGCGTTCTTTGGTATGTACTATAAATGTCAACTTTAAAATATGTAACAATTTTTGGAAAAGTGAATCCAGCTTTTAGTGAATTAGTGGTAATAGTAAATGAGTTGAAAGTTCTTCTGGTGTTTGATAGGTTAATTAAATATTTTATGTACTTTGCATGAAGAAACTCATACATGTTGATACGTAAGGATAGGCCAATTGGTACAGAGTTAAGGCCACTGGATTAGGAGGCAGGTTTGTGGTTTTAGTTTCAAGATTTATGTGAATTTGGGAAGTTCATTTAACTTCTGTGTGTTTATAAACTCATGTAAAATGAGGGACTTCACTGAGTTAGTATGGAAGTCGTTGTAAAACACTTGCAATTCCATTCTTCCCGATTTTTGTTAATCACTTACAGTATGCCAAGTATTATTCTAGGCCCTGGGGACGTACCCCTGTGGATATAGTTTCTGCCTTCATAGAGCTAACAGTTTGGTAGGGTAAGTCAGGCAACACGTATATAATTTCAAATCACGAGAAGTTCTAAGAAGAAAACCAAGGGAATGAAAGAGGGAATAGAAGGGAATAGACTCGGGGGAGAGGTTGTGAGGTGAAAGGTGTGCTATTTCAAGTAGTGCCATGAAGGAAGGACTGAGTCGCAACATTTGAGTAGAGATCTGAAAGAAGGGAAGTGATGAGCTGAGCAGGAGTCTGGAAAGAGTATGTCGTCAGAGGAAACTGCTTGGCTATGATAACCTTGGATGCCATATTCAAGAATAAACAGCATAATACAGTGTAGTATAATCAATTTCAGGAATTTTTAAGACTGAAATGTAGTAACTGTGAAAACGAAGGATAGGGCTGGGAATTTAGCTCAGTGGTTCTGCCGCCTGCCTTGCAAGCACAAGGACCCAAGTTCGAGCCCCAGTACCCAAACAAACAAACCAAAAAAAAAAAACCAAAAAACAAGCAAACAATAAAAAAGCTATGTTTAAAAAAAAAGGATAAAAATTTGAATATTAAAATACTCAAATAAAACTCAAGTAAAACTCAAATACTTTTAAGCTGACTTAATTTCAGTTAGGTTACGTTGTCAGTCTTCTTTTGGTGTCTTTTATTGTCACATTTCAACTGACAAATTTATTTAGTTAAAACAACTAATTATATCACTTGTGTATTATGTGTCTCAAGTTTTTCCTCCAAACAAGTATAGTGTGAAGCTTTTGAATTAATACGAATGTTTCATTAAAAAACACTATGTTGAATTTATTTTTAAAACAGAGACATTTAAAAGTGTTATGTAAGTTGTTTGTATATATGAAATCAATTGTAAATACTGGATCATTTTTTACAAAAATTTTTCCATTTTTTGTAATTTTATCATGTGTAAGTACTTAAAGATTTTTAGATTATAAAAATCTATGAAATTTGGATTTCTAAGTGGTAAATAAATATAAAGCAAAAGCACGCAGTGATTTTGGGATATGGAATGTTGACACAGTCTTCTTATCTTCACTTGAGGTGATCTAGGAAGTGGGATGCCTGTGATCTAGGAAAGTCTTCAGATAACAGCTGGGGTAGGCAGTTTGCCCCTTTGTGTTTTCTTAGTCTCACTTGCACATCTGTTTTTCTAATTTTGTTTCCTGATTCTTACTACTTTCTGGTAACATTCTCTTTATACTGCTCCAAATCTGTAGTGTTGTTTAATAACCTAAATAATGTATCTGTTCATGGTCATATGTTAATATTTTGTGAAAGTCACTTAATTCCTCATTTTACAGGCGATTTATTTTGCATTGCCTTTGTTACAAAAAAAGTATTGAACTTGGTATGGTGGCGTGCACCTGTAATCCTAGCACTAGGGAAGCTGAGGTAGGAGGATCATGAGTTTCAGGCCAGTCTGGGCTACATAGTTAGACCCTGTCTCAAAAAATCAAAACCAAACAACCCACCCAAAAGATATTAGCACAATGTAATCATATGATTATGTACTTGTCCATGGTATATTTCCTTCTTGAACAAAATACTATGTACCTTGAGTCACAGGCTTCTTCCCTACCTTATTATCTAAGGTTTTATCCTAAATATCCTTCTTACATGGAAGGGGTTACTCCAGGAACTACTGATTGATAGTTTAAATTGCTCTACAAATTTAAGAAATCTTTACAATGTGTGTGTGTGTGTGTATAGACACACCTACCTATATAATGTGTTTTATTCTTCATTTAATTAGCCTGTAATATTCCATCTTGTTCTTTTTTTTCTTTTTATTTTTATTTTTTGGCTTTTTCCTTTACTACTTCATACTGCCTGGAATAAGGGAGAAGGAAAGCCCACTTTTGTTGAGTTCCTGTTACCAGCTTTACATTGCTCTTTCATTCAATTATCATGTTAACTCTGAGAAGTGTTAATTACCCTAACCTTGAAGATGAAACAACTGTGTTAGCTTGGATTTACAAATCTATTGAGCAACAACAGTGTAATATAACATGCACTTCTGATTTAAGCACTTAATAGGTATAATGTTAAATAACTTACAATGCTGAGTCTGTCTGAAAAGCTTATGATTTTTCTGACTATCCTATGCAGTTTTTATACCATTTATGTTAAATTTATTCATTTTTCCTACTAATGACTATTGTAAAGTAGATGTAAAATATAATGTTTATTTATTTATTTTTTTAATTGCTGTATTTTCAGTTTTATCTCCACTTGGGTGCTCATTCTACCAAGTATACCTAGTAAGGAGTCATCTACCAACTGAAGACTTCAGGGCTCCAAGGCCACAGAGAACCCTATACCAAATGTAGCTCCTTGTTGGGCCGGTGGTGCTCCAGAAAACTGTATTGCTTTCCCTGGAATTCTGGTTCTACTCTGGGGAAGAATTTTGTGTGTTCGATTTAGTTTGGCTGTCTCACAGTTGCCTCAGGCTTGTGTTAGATATAGTTTAAATTAAAACTCCTATTTGTTTTAGGGGAAAGGAATGGTTATTTAAATGAATTTTGTTACTGTTCTTTGTGTGGTAGATGATTGAGTCTGATGCTTTTGGTCTCCAGAACTGAATTTTCTTGCCCTTTACTGTGTAGTCTGAGAACTCAGCAAATATGTGACCCACACCTGGTACATTAGACCCAATGTGGTGTGAATGTCCCTGCCATGAGTTTCTTGGCCCCCTGAATGACTGGATCAGGATTTAAGCTGTAAGATAGAGAGATAGGCACGTAACCGTCAGTTAAGTCCCTGGCCAACATCTAACAGAGTAAATTCAATTATATTTATTAGTGGTATTCTTAAAGTCAGCTACTGAAGTATATATTTGAGTAGCACATATATAATACTCTTTATGTTTAAATAATTGTAGGGGGAAAATACAGTTATTCATACTATAATGTAAGTGTACATCTTCAAATTCTAAAAAATAAACCATAATATAATGCTGTTGGATGTTTGCTGGGCACTGTGTTCCAAATATTGTTAGGTGCTGGGTTAAAAAGCATCATTGCCGGGCTGGGGTTTAGCTCAGTGGTTCCGCTGCCTGCCTTGCAAGTGCAAGGTCCCAAGTTGGATCCCCAGTACCAAAAAAAAAAAAAAGCATCAGTGCTTTTAGGTGGTTTGTAATTTAATGGAACAGGGGTGCAATTTAATTTCAAATTAAAGATAATGTGCTGCCGAGTAAAGATCTGCCTTGGGAGGAGGTTAGTGGACATGAGTTGGCTGGAAGGAATGAGGCAGAATCTGCCTTATGAGGTAAGGATCTTGACATCAGTTTAGAGGTAGGAATTTGCCCACTGATGAAGTGCATGAGTCGGAGTAGCTGGGGAAAGGAAGACCAAAGTTCACAAAGTGGCCAGGGTGTGGGAGAGCAAGCTCCTGAGTGTGTGGGATAGAATGGGATGAGATGAGGCTGTGAACTAGGCAGGCTCTGTATCCCATGCTATAGGGTTTAGGGACTTCATTCATAGGTAGTGGGGAGTCAGTCACTGAGGCAATTTTGGGTTAAAAACAGAACCTTAAGGAAATATACTCCCTCTAGTTACATGTCCTTGTGCGAATACTTTAGACAAATATAGGGGGAGAAGGTGATGTGTTATTTTGGTTTTTTTTGAGACAGGGTCTCACTATGTAGTTGAGACTGACCTGGAACTCACTATGTAGCCCAGGCTGGTCTCAAACTCACAGCGATCCTCCTGCCTCAGTCTCCCGAGTGCTGGGAGTACAGGCGTGCACCACCACGCCTGATGTGTTATTTTGGATGGTAGTTATTTAAGACAAAGGTAATTAAATGAATACTTTTGAAATCACAACTTTATGTTACTTCTATTTTTACTTGGACAGTTATACTTATCATATATTAATGGTATATGAAGTCACACATTTAATGAACTATATTTTCCACAACTTAATTTTTTTAAAAAATACATAGTTTTTGCTATTTTTTAATAATGTAGCATACTTATGAAACATACTGTAGTATGAATTCTGTGTATAGTGAATTGAGAGATGTCTTTGAGCCTGACTAGAGTAGAGGCATCGTCAACTGTTGACTTTTCTTGGGAAAGAAAATAAATCAGTGACAATTTGTGTTACAGAGAATTTTCAGGGTATATAACTATTACTTTAGTTTTTGTTTTATTTTGTTTTTTTCAGTGTTGGGGATCAAACCTGAGTCTTTACACCTGCTAGACAAGTGCTGTACCTAAACCATACCCCAGCCCTGGTTTAATATTTTTAAATTTAGCAAGAATTTAATAAAGGCTCCTAGTATTTTCTATTCTTTTTCATTGTACACAGTGTCAATTATTACTGCTACCAGTTTTGATATCTTACTAAGTATTAGCAAGTGTGCTAAATGTACATGAGTTCAGTTAGTCTTCCAATCTTGTCTAAAGATGAAATACCCTTCAGTCCCATGGCCAGTAAGTGATGGAGCCTAGATTTAAACCTAGATTGGTCACTGTTGCTGTTTTCAGCATTTTCCTAGAAAAAATATAAAAGAGGGATTATGATGGCCTTGGTGCCAGCTCTAGAAGGTTACAGCAGTTTCCTCACCCCTTGATTTAGTGATCACTATAAGGGGTCTTTAAGTAATGGAGCCACTGAGCACAATTGTGTTTTCCCCAGAAATGCTGCACAGCTAATTAAAGAATTTAGAGAGGTTACGGCAAAGTATTTGCTGCTATAGCAACACATTGTGTGTCTAGGGACTAGTTTGTGTGTGTGTGTGTGTGTGTGTGTGTGTGTGTGTGTTTAAGCCTTAGCCTTTTGTGTGATTCTAGCCTTCCAAGTCAAAGTATGAACTTCCGTGGTAGCATGGGCATCACCTGGGATTTGTTAGAAATGCAGACTCTTGTTAGTTGTGGTGGTGCACACCTGTAATTCCAGCTACTTGGGAGGCTGAGGTAGCAGGAGCACAAGTTTAAGCCCAGCTTGGGCAATTTAGGGAGACTTCTCTCACCCCTAGTCTCAAATAAAAAGGCTAGAGATACAACTCAGTGCTAGAATGCCCTTTGCTTTGATTCTCAACACTGAAAAAAGAAAAAAGCAGAATCTCAGGCCTCCTCTGTACTTACTGAATCAGATCTGTATTTTAACAAGATCTCCAGGTAATTAATGTGTGCATTAAAACTTGGGAAGCACCGCCTTAAGTAATTAAGAAAAAGTGAGTTGGCAACAGCAGGTGACCCAACAATAACAGAAATGGTTAATCTGGACACAGTGGCGCACACCCATAATTCCAATTATTTGAGAGGCTGAGATAAGATCACAAGTTCAAGGAAATGTAGGGATCCTGGTTACTCTGTCTAGGAAAGAAAAAAAGAAAAATGTAAGGAAGGAAGGAAGGAAACAGGGAGGGAGAGAGAGGAGAAAAAAATAGCTGAGTAGAACCAAAAATGTAAAAGATAAGCATGTGCTGTGATTGGAAGAATTTGATTAGCTATTGACAGCAAGTGAACGAAAATAGTTAAGAATGGTAATTAATGATGGGGTGGGGATGACAGAGACCAGAGACCATGATGACAGGCTTTCACCTTTTTTTTTTTAATGGTGGTGCTGGTAATTGAACCCAGGGCCTCATGCAGGTCGAGCAAGTGTTCTATCACTGACCTTCACTCTTAACCCAAACTTTACATTTAAAATTTATAAGGACTTTTGAGAAATAAGAAAGGGAGCCTTCTGTCAAGAGAAGACACTGAACTTCTATTTACCTTTGCTGGGATAAGGGAAGTGGTACCAAAAGGCCGTTTACCAGAGCTTCATTGCAAGAGTTTTTTGTTTGTTTTTACTTTTCTTTCTCTAGTACTAGAGATTTATCCTAGGGCATTTGCACTGAGCTGCATCCCCAACCTGTTTTTAAATTTTGAGTCAGGGTTTTGCTGAGTTGGGACATTTCCCAGGCTGGGTGCAAATTTTTGATCCTCCTTCCTCAGAGTCCCACAGTGCAGGAATCAGAGGTGTGCAACACCACACCTGGCTCCATTGCAGGAGGTTTTGAAGGCAGAAGTGAACTGTCAGAAGAAAAGTTCTGTACTGTAACAGCTATTGGAGAACTCTCTAAAATGATTCCTATTTGAGTGATTTGAAGGTGCTTGACACACGTTATCTTCCCAGAAGATTTAGGTTGATAAAAATTTCACCATTATATCTGGGTGCAGTGGTGTGTGCCCTCAGCCCTAGCTATTCATGTGACTGAATCAGGAGGGGTGGGTGAGCATTGGAGTTTGAGGCCGTTCTGGGCAACGTAGCCAGACCATGTCTTAAAAAAACAAAAAGCAAACTTTAAGTTAATTTTCTTGGTGGAATAGGCAGAGGGCAGATGAATATGTAGAACAACAACCAAACCCTGCAAAACTTTAATATGTTATGAAACTTTAAAAATTCTAAGCTGGGTATGGTAGCACATGTCTGTAATCCTAGCACTCTGGGAGGCTGAGGCAAGAGGATTGCAAGTTGGAGCCCATCCTGGGCAATTTAATAAATTAGCAAGACCTTGTATCAAAATTTAAAAGGAATGGGAATGTAGGTCAGTGACTCTGGATTCAATCCCCAAAAAGAAAAAAAAATTCTAACTAAATACTAAAATACTATGGCTATTTTGTTTGAGAGCATTGATTGGGATTTTTTTATTTGATTCAAAATATTGAGATTTCTTTTATTATGGAATTATAAATTTGTAAGTTGAAAATAATTTGAATTAATAAAAGCATAGAACCTTACAGTTGTATGGGTCTTGCAAGGCATATAAGTCACCTTTTCCTCTGTAGTATTTCTGTATTATATATCTGTCAAGTAAGTGGTCATTTGGTTAAATATGTTTACAATATATTATCTTTTGAAATAAAGCCACAAGTGAAATTTTCACAATTATAGCATTGATAAATCATAGAAAGAACTGACATTTGTGATCCAAAGATATGGAAATTTGAGGTACCATGGATATAGTTCGCTTTCTGATTTATCATTTTTCATCAAGATAATTTTTCTCATTTCTCTTATTGGGTCCCAGAGAAATTCTGTGAATCCTCAGCTATGCTAGGAAAAAGATGCTTCATTGCTAGTGTAGCCGTGAACTGACTTCTGCAATGTTGGTTGTGCTGAAACTGAGGAGGGAAGGACAGAGTTTTGCCACTCTGGATCGTTACTTATTCTGCTTGCCTGTGTCTCTTGGGGCAGGAAGGCAAGGCAACCCTGGGGAAGTAGTTCACGGGAAGTCACCCAAAGAATGTGTAGCTACCAAATTCCTCCTTTTTACTATTACTAGAGCCTTGTGACCCTTTGGAATGAATCACTGCTTAATAAGGTAATGATAGAGAGATTAAGCCTTAATCTGCCATTTGACTCAATGACTGGGCCTTTTATAAGTTATGTGTAAAAGTTAGTTTGAGACCAAATGTTGGAATTTGGTTTCACTGCACACAATCATATGAACAGTTCTCAGGGCTCAGTAGTAGAGCACTTACCTTGTGTGCACAGGACCCTAAGCTTGATCCTCAGTTCCACAAACACAAAAATAAAAAGGTAAATAGTTCTTCAAATAGACATTGTTTTCATAGAGTATTTAAGTGATTTTAAATACATCTGTCTCCTTCCCATATTGTATCTTACAATGTTTAATTATAGGGTTCATCTGCTGATCGGAGTCAGTGGAGAGAACCAACTAGAACATCTGATGGCCTGTGCTCGCTCTATGAGGCAGCATTATGTCTCTTTGAAGAGGTACGTAGTCATCATGACTTTTGCATCAAACATTACTTCATCTTAAAATGCTACAGCATCTATTTATTCATTGAAAACACCTATTTGGAGAGAGGACCAAAAATACAGCTCAAAAAAAAGGCTCCAAAAGAGGGTGACGTGAGTGATTGCTTCTAGAAAGTGGAGCCTGGGAAAATTCGGGCCAGTTGTGGGAAAGGAACATATTTTCAATGTATTTTATTTTGAATATTGAGTCATGTACTGGTAAGTTTAATCAAAAAATTTTTATTATTAAGTAAAACATACAGAAGGACATACAAACACATGTATGATTAATGAAGTATTATTAAATAAACACCCTTTTTTTTTTTTTTTTTTTTTTTTTTTTTTTGGTACGGGGGATTGAACTCAGGTCCTTGCACTTGCAAGGCAGGCCACCGAACCGCTGAGCTAAATCCCCAGCTAAATAAACACCTTTTTAACCTGTACTTGGATATAGAAATAGAATTTTGTCAGCTGCAGGAGAAGTCCTTTCATGTCCTTGTCATAACTTCTTTCTTCCTTCCCTGAACATAACCACTGTTGTGACTTTTAGACTAATAACTTGCTTCTGCTTCTTTGTAGTTGTGTGACTCAGGTATGCATCCCTGGACATTAAAAAGTAGAAAAGTTCTAAATCTTTGAATTGGTACATTCTTCCTTGCTCTCCTTCAGTGTATATGTTCAGTAAACTATTTATCAGATTATAGATTTCCCTAGTCTTTATTTTGCTGACTGATTACTCTTGATACAGTTCAGTGTGTTTCTTTGCCTTTGTATTGCTTACAAATTGGCACCTGGCTCCAGAGGATTTATGAGTCTTACATTTGATCATTTTAGCAAGTTTTATACATGCTGTTGTATTCTTTCACCTGGTTCCATTGGTTTCCTCTTTTTGTGGTGCTTAATAGCTGGATCTAATTGATTTGTAGTTAGTTATTGTGGTATTCTAATTCTGTTATTTCTTTTTCATTTATTAGAATGTTTTTATAAAGAGATGCTTCACATATCAACTCTGATTACTCTGCTACAGTTCATATAGGAAAGGCAAAATAAATGCTTGATTCTTCCCACCTGCTTTTGTTTATTTTCAATTTAATCAACTGATCTTTTATTCTACTTTAAGCTTGACCAGTTAGCTTTATTTAAAAATATCATTTTGCTCTTGTAGACTTAAACCTGTTTGAGTGTTGAATTGTCATTTGTGGTGAAGGTGGTCAGCATTGGTTCATTTGGGCCTGTTGTCTTGTCTTGTCAGGGTGGTAATACCTTCAAGTTCTTCTCACATAAAAGGCTGCTACTCTTTGAGGTCTTCCTTGCTTTCTGGTATAGCACATTGTTCCTGGCTCATCGTGTACATTTTTTACCCTGGGAATCAGTTTGATGTTTCTTCAAAAAGACCCTGGTTTCTTTTATTGTAAAATGTTGATTTCAGTCCCATGGTGAGGGTGCTAGAGATACTTAGTGCTAGTGAGTTGGTCTGAACTGTTTTTTTTTTTTCTCTCATTGAGTTTATTGGTACATTTTAGGTAAACAGTACAGTTACTTTCGTCATTGGGATCTTGTACCTTTACATGACAGTTCTTGGTTCTCATTTTTTTCCCTTATCCCTTCCCTCCCTTTGTTCTGAACTGTTTTGAGGCTTTTATAATAGAGTTGGGAAATTGTGGGGTGTTGTGGGATGTGTGCATATGTGGTATGTTTAAGGCCAGAATACCTCATGAGTTGTAGGGCTATAGAATTTTTACTTAACTTTTTTGTATATTACATTTATATCTTCTTTTCTTCAAGTTAAAACTGCTGATTTTTAAGGATATAGGAATGATGGAATTAAGAGTATCCTATAATCACATTATGCACACAAATACATTCGCATGCATACAGCTGTCCTAAAATAATAAGACAAATATCACTGCTGTGTGGTTAATTTTTTTTCTTTGGTACTGGGGATCGAACTCAGGTCCTTGTACTTGTAAGGCAGGTGCTGGAACCACTGAACTAAATCCCTCGTCTGAAAACATTAATTTTAAATGGTCCCCTTTATTGTAGTTGTATTGAGAACATGTAGTCATTACATTATGTGTGCTTTTTGAATTCTTATTTAATATTAGTTCTATAAGTAACTACATAGTCAATCCTTACTTCTAATCTCTGTAATCTTTTTGATTGTCTGAAGCCCATTCTTTAGTAGGTTAAAAAAAAAAAACAGGAATGGAATTCTCATAGTTCTAGCATGTTGATAATTGTTACACTTTTTATTACAGAAAGTTAGTTTTGGGAAATAAAATCTCTGGCTATCTTTCCTCCCTCCTACCCTTTTTCCCCTTCTCCCCTTTGTCTTTCTGTCTTTCTCTTTTTTTCAAGTACTAGAGATTGAATCCAGGACTTTTAGACTGAGCTACACTGCCACCCTTTTCCGGCACCCCCCAACAGAATCTTGCTAAGTTGCCCAGGTTGTGATCAAGCTTATGATACTCTTGCCTCAGCCTCCCCGAGTGCTGGGAATACAGGCTTATCACACTACTCCTGGCTTTACATTTCTTTTTTTCTATATCTTAAATGTGTTACCTCATTTTCTTCTGGCATAAAGAGTTGCTGTCTGAGTCCAAAAGTAGTCTTTCTTTTCTATATGAGTCACATGCTTGTTTTGCTGACAAGTCCTATTAAGAACATTTTAATTCTTGTAAAGATCAGTAATTTTACTAGAATACATCTTGATATTATTTATTCTGGATTTATGTTCTTAGAGATATGAGAACTCAGTGTGTAGTTTCAGATATTTTTAATTTCAGGAAAATGTCCTTAAATTATAGTTTGTAGTAGCATTTTCTTTGGTGGTCTTCTTTAGGAACTCCAATTATCTGTATGTTAGATTTTTGCCTAATATTGTCATTTATTCTTGAATTTTAGAATACCTTCTATAGTTTTTTTAATCTCTAAAAAAAAATCTTTCTTTTAATCTTTTGTTACTCATAAGGCATTGTCTATTGTATTATTTACTCCTGGATTTTTTCTAGTCATTTGGGAAATGTTTTTTCTTTGTTCCTAATTCCTTGAGTGTGTCACCTCATTTTTTGGCATTGCCAATTCAAATTTGTATTTTCTTGTCTTGTTTCATTTTCTTAATCCCTTTAACCTGTTTTGAAATAAGTTATAGTTTTCTCTATTTTGTGGGCATTTTCCTTATGGCATGCTTTCATTGTCTGGTTGTTACTATGCTCTTTTTCCCTTTCTTTTTTATAACAACCTATTACAGGATTGACCTCAATACTTTACTGTGGGTTATTATATGAAATTACTTTTCCTAAGGTTTTAGAATATGTTAGGATTTAGTATATCTTTTTCTAAAAAAAACAATGATATTTCTCCAGCTTGTTTTCCTTCACAACTTTTGCCTTCACATTCTCCATCACTCCTTGCTGTTTTGCTGTCCTATGCTCTTTTGATTCCACTTCTAGTAGCTTCTCATCAGTGTGTGTGTAGGGGGGCACTGTTCTAAAAGGAGTCCTGAGGCTCCTTTTAATTTTTCAAGAGTTCACAAGAGCTAGATATTATTTTAAAAAATACATTTTAAACTCTGTAGTTTCTTCTCAGTTTTTTTGGAGGGTTAAAGAATGGGAGGGCTATGATTTTTTCTTATAAACCTCATTATGGTAATATATCTTTAAATGAACAGTTTTAACCATCTTGGCTCCACCATCCTTTTGTCTCCAGCGAAATTTCCCATCTTTTATTGGGGATGAGCAGTTTTCACTTACACAATATACTGTGTGTTCTTAAAACTGTCCTCATGTTCACTGGAAAATATTTGTCTAAAACAAATTCTTTTACATTGTATTTAAAGATTCTAACTAACATTATCTCCATTTAATGTGTACACAAACTAATACGGTGACCTTTCTTTTATTGTTTTGCTCAACTATGCAGAAACCCCCACAAAAATCAGACAAGACATTCAAAATGTCTAGGGTTAGACTGAATATCTTTATTCTATTGAGTATATACAAGTCAGTAAAAAATTCATTAACTCCATGGGCCAGAGATTTAGCTCAGTGGTTCTGCCACCTGCCTCAAAAGCACAAAGTCCTGAGTTCAGTCCTTGGTACCCCTTCAGAATTATTTAACCCCAGTAAATGAGAGGGCATAAGTAAGTTACTTCACAAAATGTGGTAAACAAATGGATGGAAGGTCTTTAACTTTACTTATAATAAGGACTTGTGAAATTAATGGCATCCTCTTTTTCCACTTCAGTTTGCAACAAACAAATACACACAAACAAATGAAAGCCAAAACACCTTTAAAAACACAGTACTGCGTGGGATTTAGCTCAGTGGTGCTGTTGCCTGCCTCGCAAGTGCAAGGTCCTGAGTTTGATCCCCAGTACAAAAACCAAAACCAAAAACATAGTACCCATCAATGGTGTGAGTGCTGTAGGGATGCCATTGCTCTCACAAAGAAAGACCCATTCCTTGGTTAGGGCAAGCAAGATGGCCACCTTGGATTATGTGGTTTTGGTGAGGAGCTTAGATTTTTAAAAACAATTGTGACTAGCAACAAATTTTACCATTATATTCAACATAAATGGCAAATCAGTCATGACTCTCATTTTGTGTGCGTATATGTTGAATTGCTCTGGACCTTTGCTGTTTTGAAGACTACCCTCCTTTTGAACATTGCTGGTGAAAGTATGATAAGCATTATTTTGGAAAGCAGTTTGTTATAGTATATTTCAAAAAGGTAAGATTGTAGGATTGTTGTCCTTTTTTTTGATAGACCATTTCTTAGATTCTCTACTAAAGAAGTAAAAAAAGTGTAGTAACAACTATGTTCTTCGAAATGGCTGATAAAATAATGAAGTAGAAAGAACTTAAATATCTTATTAAAGGTAAGTGGTTGAATAAATTATGATTTTTGTATTAGATATGTTTCAGTCATAAGCATTAGGTAGGCCTATAAATTTTGCATGAGGTTTTTGTAGCATTTGTCACATTTATATAACCATAGTAATGACTATGTTAAAGAACACAGTCTTTACGATAACATTATATTAAGGTAAGATTATCAATGGTGACTTTTTCTTTGTTTTTTTAAACTTAACTTTTCTGTAATGCTGTTGTATTTGGTAATAAAACTTGTATTTGAAAAGGCTTGTTTGTCCCATTTTGCCCTCTTTTATTAATATCTTTTAGTGATTTATTCTATGCAAGTAAATATTCTTGTTAACTGTATTTAAGACTAGATGTGTTTTTCTTAGATTTGAGTAGTTGAAAATAGTGGAAGGAAAGGCATCAGTAATTGCAGAGAATAGGTAAAAAATATCTAAACTAAAAATGTCTTGTTTTTTCATATTTTAAAATTTTTATAGGTTTGTAGAATGGCTTCTGATTACTCAAGAACATGTGCTAGCCCAGACAGCATTCAGACTGGAGATGCTCCCATTGTCTCTGAAACCTGTGAGGTTTATGTTTGGGGAAGCAACAGCAGCCATCAGTTGGTAGAAGGCACACAGGAAAAAATACTACAACCCAAACTAGCTCCTAGTTTTTCTGATGCCCAGACCGTAAGTTCCCTGCATACCTTACAAATAACTTCATACTTACTTGCTTTATGTTGAGATTTTTTTTTTTTAAAGAAGGAAAGGGCTATATTTAGTTTATGGTTTATACAAGTTTCAGTCCATATGTGTTGAGTATTTTTTAAATGAATTAAAATTCTTTGCTACTTTGTTTCTTGTTTATGTTGTATTTATACCATACTTTATCAAATTTTCATTATAATAGAAAGATATATTTTTGGTCTCCTAAACACATGAAACCATTTCCAGGGTTCAAAAAAGTAAGTTGGGATTTGAATTCTTCAAAAACCTTATTAATCACAACAGAGTTTACTATTATATTCAGCACATATGGTAAATAAATGATAAGTAAAGGCTTTTATTTTCCTTTTCCTAGATTGGCATTTCATTTTCTTATTATGATTACTTTTTTTTTGCGTTTGTAGCTCAAGCAAAACTTTTATTTTATTATGGTATTAGTTAAAATATATGTTTTTCCAAATGGATTTAGAGTATGTTTTGTATGGTTCTTGCCTCAGTGACACTAAGGAATTTATGAGAAATTTTTACTTCTTTTCCTTCTTTAACTATAAAATGAGGCTAAAACATTTTACTCTGTTATTTCATTCAGTCATGACTTGTTAAATGTCTTAGGTACTTTTCTCATTGCTGAGACAAAATACCCAAAACCCGAAGTTAAAGAAAACAGGGTTTATTTCAGCTCACATCTGTAGAGGTTTCAGTTTATAGTTAACTGACCCCAAGGCAGGGTGGCACAGCAGAGGGGCATTGCAGAGGAGAGAGTTTGTGGTGGACAGAAGGCAGAGAGGCAGCTGAGTAGCAAAGAAGCACCAGTAGCAGTAGACACAACTACTTTCAGTCCCTTTTTATTCCATCCGGGCTACCCACCTTTGGGGGTGTGCTACCTACACCCAGGGTGGAGTACCCTTAATCCTCACATCACACTCTTACTCCCAGCATCTCATCATTAATCCTAGCATCACATACTCTAATCCAGCCACCTTTGAAGCTCTCTACCTATAAACTCGAGGCTTTTCGGGAATATCAAGATACAGGCCATAATAGTAGATAAGCTGGGAGGATAATATGGATGTGAATTTGAGCTTAAAAATGAAGTAACCCTGAAAATACTGTTAATGTTTTTTTCATTTATTCTTTTTTATGGATATTCATGCCATATTCTGCTAACCCTAATCCTAACCCTTGAGTTTCTTTGATAAAGCTGATTTTAAATATTACACTTTGATATCCACAGAAGCATTTTATGTTATCGTTTTCTTCGTTTATAGATTGAAGCTGGACAATACTGCACTTTTGTTATTTCTACGGATGGTTCTGTCAGAGCTTGTGGTAAAGGCAGCTATGGGAGACTGGGCCTTGGAGATTCTAATAATCAGTCTACTTTAAAAAAGTTAACCTTTGAGCCTCACAGGTCCATTAAAAAGGTTTCATCTTCTAAAGGCTCTGATGGTCACACTTTAGCTTTCACCACAGAAGGAGAAGTCTTCAGTTGGGGAGATGGTGATTATGGGAAACTGGGACATGGAAATAGTTCAACACAGAAATATCCCAAGCTTATTCAGGGGCCTCTTCAGGGAAAGGTATGTGCTTTCTTTTTAGATTTAAGAGTAATTAGATAGCAGTTGTATTATAATTGATAGTATCTTTCAGATTTTTATGTATTTCTGAAGTTACCCCTCACCCTTTAACTTATATTTTTGTACATCTGCTTTATAGTTTACAGAACACTTTCACATACATTATTCAGTTTTAATCTTTATAGATGCTTTTTAATTTTTTTTTCTTTCTGAGATGGTGTCTTGCTCTGTTGCCCAGACTAGCCATGAGCTCTTGTGTTCAAGTGGTCCTCCTGCCTCAGCCTCCTGAGTATTTGGACTCCAGGTGCACATTACTGCACTGGGTCAGTTTTAATTTTTATATTCTCATAAGGATAATTCCTATTCTTGTGACGTATTTTTCCCCATGTCACTGATAAGGAACCTGGGAGTCATTCATTCAACCAATATTTAGTACTTCACAAATGTAAGGCAGTGTTTTTAGGCTTTAGATACCTATTCTCATAGAGCTTTAATCTTCAGGATAAATACAAATATATAAAATAATTTCAGATAACTATAAACAAGAATTAAGTAATGTAATAGAGACTAACTTAGGCTAAGCATAATATTAGAGATCAGGATTCTCTTGTAGGAGGTGGCATTTTAATAGACCTGAGTCAGCATTTCAAATGGTTAATTGCCTAGCATCCCACATAAATGTTACCATTAGAAACAACCTAAATCCTATGTGTGTGTGTGTGTGTGTGTGTGTGTGTGTGTGTAATATAAAAATAAATATATCTATTTTAGTGTTAACGTAACTTTTTAAAGAAAACAGGTGAACTTATATGCAGTTTATAGGTTCGTTCATGGTAAGATTCTATTCTTTCTGTATTTCTTTACATAAAAATCTTTGTGAAATCTTATTTCCATGTGTAGAAAATTCTTGGATTTAGAGCTCAGTACAGAGGGGGAAAAACTTCATAATATTGTAAAGTCTATTTTTAAATTTTGTACCATATTACAAGTGGCACACTTTTTCTTCATGAGAGGTTTTCTGACCTGGTTGGGTATCAAATGAATTTTACTCTCATAGTTTGCAGTATATAAACCCCAAGGCAATGGGCCTAGGAAGAGTCCACTTTGAAAATATCAAAGGATACTTGATAACATGTTGAAATTAGGCTCTAAGGAACTTCATATAAATTATTTGAAATTGTATTTTCTTGGTGTAGTACTTTCTTCCTTAATTTGGTAGTTATATTCCTTTGCCCCATTTTTATATTGGAAATATTACCAATTAAAAACAACAGTGTGGGGTGTGGTGGTGTATGCCTGTAATCCCAGCTAGTGGGAGGCAGAAGCAGGAGGATTCTAGGCATTAGGCCAGCCTGAGCAGCTCAGACTTTGTCTAAAAAAAAAAAAAAAAATTGAAAATAGAGGACTCGGTATAGTTCCGGTGTTTATCCTGTGTGACGCTCTGGATTCAATGGCCAGTACCACAAAACAAATGACATAGTTCAAGTATGGTAAAGGAAAAACGTAATTCACAGATCAAAATTTCAAAAGTTTTTAGCATAGTATTTAAATGTATTGGATGCTGAATATTTTTAATTGAGTCTCATATTTCATTTTCCTACAGTATGCTCCAGTTTTTGGAGATTAAATAGATGTGGAGCTGTTAGTGCATTTGTTTTTTTCATATCTTTTTCTGATTGCCTGTAATTTTGATCAGTATTAGATGGTGTGAGTGATGTTTGCCTTATATTGGTACACTATATGTCTTTTTCCCCCTGATTCTACTCATTAATTGTATAGCTACTTGAGGTTAAGGTGATACTATCAAGAATTTAATTAATAGAAGCCTATATATTACTTTTGAGGTTTTTTTTAGAGTTATCCTTATTATATAATGAATTTTTTCCTTTTCTTTTTCTGTTTTGTTTTGTTTTGAGACAGGGTCTCACTGTGTAGCCCAGAGTAGCCTCAAACTCACCGTGATCCTTTTCCCTCAGCCTCTGCAAGTGCTTGAGATTACTTGCATGTGCCACCACACCCAGCTATAATGAGTTTTTCTTGCAGCCAGAGCTAGAGGTTTTTACTAACCTTATATATAAAAAATTATTGGCCAGGTGCTGTGGAGTGTACCTGTGATTCCAACTACTTGGTAAGCTGAGACAGTAGGGTCACAAGTTCCAGGCCAGCCTAGGCAACTTAGTGAGAGCCTGTCTCAAAGCATTAAAAGGGCTGAGGATGTGGCTCAGTGGTAGAACACCCTTGGGCTCAGTCCTTAGTGTTGAGGGGGGTTGTTTTTGTTCTGTAGGTATTGAACTCTTTCCTACTGTGAGTCAAGATTTGATAGGTCAGGGATTTGGCTCAGCGGTTCTGCCGCCTGCCTTGTAAGCAGAAGGGCCTGAGTTTGATCCCTGGTACCACCAAAAAAAAAAAAAAAAAAAAAAAAAGATTTGATTGAGGGCCAGGTATTTAGCTCAGTGGTGCTGCCACCTGCCTCACAAATGCAGGGTCCCAAGTGTGATCCCAGTACCAAAAAACAAACAAACTACCTGCAGAAATACCAATCAAAGCTTTTTTTGTGGGTGGGGGATATCAAACTCGAAACCTTGCACTTGTGAAGCAGGTGGAGGAGCCACTGAGCTAAGTTCCTGGCCCAAAGGATACACGGGACTTCTGCAGGTAGTTAATGTCTTCAGAGACCCTGCCAGCTCTTGGACTGCTTTTAAGTGAACTGAGAAAAGTTCTGTCCTTTAGGTTGAAGCCAGGGGTTCATATCTTGGCTAGCAGCACATAGGCACTTCCTAGCCAGTCACCTATGCCTTGTTCTGAGCATAGCTTCCATACCATGGCACTTCCTGATTGAGTTATGAATATTAATATCTGATGTCTTTGTACAGATGTGTGTTTTAGCATGTTTGTTTATCAGCTTCCCTGTGTGCAATGCAGGTAGTTGTTTGTGTGTCAGCTGGATACAGGCACAGTGCTGCTGTCACAGAGGATGGTGAATTATATACATGGGGTGAAGGAGATTTTGGAAGATTAGGTAAGTTTTTTTAAAAAATTGAAATTATTCTCACAGAAAATAAATATGATTAGAGTTACTGAGACGCAGTGAGAATAGATATAAAGGTCATTTATTTTGTTAGTCTTCAGCTTAGTGGAAGATAGTTTTACATAGATAATGCCTAGATTCTGATACTGTTATGTAAAATGTAATTAAATCTAGTAAGTTTTTAGCTAGAGTCTATTAATAGCCAGCCACTGTAGGCTTCAGGAATAAGAAATAAACCATCATGATCTTGATGTTTATAATCTACTGGGTCATGGAAACAAGTGGACACAAGCATGAGACAAGACAGAATAAGGTAAGGATGATTCCAGGACCATAAATAGAGTTTCAGATGGTTCCCTGAAGTGTCTGGATGCCCCAGTTTGGGAGTAACCTGGAAGACTGATTGAGAGGATATTAGGAATGATTCCATTTTTCATATTTAATTGCACTTTAAAATAGCTTGTAATGTTTATTCCACTTGTGCAGTGATTGCCTAGAGAAAAGGAGTTAACACTGCTTCTGTGTTGTGTTTTTTATCCAAGGTCATGGTGACAGTAATAGCCGTAACATTCCAACATTAGTAAAAGATATTAGCAACGTTGGAGAGGTTTCTTGTGGCAGTTCACATACTATTGCTTTATCTAAAGATGGAAGAACTGTATGGTCTTTTGGAGGAGGAGATAATGGTATGTAAAAAAATTTTTATTGGTAGCTTTGGCTTTTTTTTTTGGCCTTTTTTCTTGACATTTTAAAAAATTTATTTTTTATTATATATTTATTGTTTAGAAAAACTCAAAATACAGATGAACAGTAATAAAAATTAAACTGTTTTGTTTTTTTAACTATTGTTAACATTCGGGGTGTGTGTGTGTGTGTGTGTATGTATGTCTCTCTCTATATTAAACACAAATATTTACATGTATCTCTACATGGGATGTCTTTAAAAACTGAAGTAGACCTGTGTATTTCCATAGATATTTTATAATCTGCTAGATTTTATATAGCAGTATTTTTGTATCAACTAACATGACTACATAATAGTTTTTAAAAAGGTTTAGTGTTTTCATATATCTGCAGTATGATTTATAAAACCAGTTTCCAATTGTTGAGTACCCAGATCATTGCTATTTTTTTCAGTATTAAAAACAACATTGCAATGAATGACTAACTTTTTGCCCTTAGTCACCACTACCTGCAATATGTTTGTATCTCAGTGTAGATATTAGAAGTAGGATAATTTAACTGGATATGGTGGCTCTTTTCTGTAATCACAGCCCTTTGGGAGGTTGAGGCAGGAAAATTGCAAATTTGAGCTCAGTTTGGGCAATTTGGAGATTTTCATGAGACCTTGTTTCAAAATAACAAATAAGATTAAGATAAAAGAGCTGGGAATGTAGCTTATCGCAGAAGCCTTGGGCTCAATCCCTAGTACCACGCACACAAACACACACATACATAAAAATAATTTTTAAAAGTTTGTATCAAAAAATAATTCATAGTTTTAAAAAATTGCACAAATATATATTCTTGTCTAGAACCTATGTTCTTTTTGGGGTTTTTTGTTTTGTTTTGTTTTTTGTTTTTTGTTTTTTTTGGTACCGGGGATTGAACTTGGGTCCTTGTGCTGGTGAGGCAGGTGCCAAACCACTGAGCTGAATCCCCAGCCCCTAGAACCTATGTATTGTGTTTTTGTTCTTGGTTTTTTGTTTGTTTGTTTGTTTGTTTTTGAGACAGGGTCTTGCTGAGTAGTTCAGGCTGACTTTGGACTCACTGTGTAGTCTGGGCTGGCCTTGGACTTGTGGAGATCCTCCTGCCTCAGCCTTTCAAGTACTGAAATTATGCGAGTGAACCACACCCAGCATGAACCTGTGTATTGTTGAAGTTAAAAATAAGGTCATAAAAGGAGGAGAAAGAAAAATACTTTTCTACACCTTTTTAGAATGATTTTAATTGCTTGAGGTTGTGATACAAAAAGCTGTTTGTTTGTTAGTAACTGTCTTGTAACAAAAATGTTCATTTGTTAATGTCTTTTGTTGTCAGAAATGTACAGCTTTCCACATCCGTCAGATAAGTGATGAGATTAGACACTTCTTCAACTTTAGTACTTACCAAAAGAATTCAAGTTCTCAGAACAAGTAAAATGTTTAACTTGAATGTGTTTGTTTTTATAGGCAAACTTGGCCATGGTGACACCAACAGAGTGTATAAACCTAAAGTTATTGAAGCTTTACAAGGGATGTTCATTCGCAAAGTTTGTGCTGGGAGCCAGTCTTCCCTTGCTTTGACATCAACAGGGCAGGTAGGAGTAAGGGATGACTGTAAAGGAGCTATGGTTGTTTAAAGGTCTTGATGAATAAAAGTAGTAATTGTATTTAAATTTTGAAAAGAAAAAAAATATGTTTTCAGGCAGCATACTGAAATATGAAGTATTTTTTCCTATTTGGAGTATTGAGAAGGAATCAGGTTTTCGGACCTGGCCTTAACCCCATCCCCCACCCCCGCGCCCTTTATTTCCACCTCTGAAGATTGAGCCCAAGGCCTCCTACTTGCTAGGCTATACCCTTAGTTCCTTGTCCTTTCTGTGGAGTATCCCCCCACACAATACCAGAGATCATACTCAGAACCTCGCACTTCCCCTGTTCTTTCTATTAAGCTAACTTTATAAAATCACTTAACACTCAGCATTCCTTAAATCTTTCCCAAAAATCACAGATAGGGGAGAAAAGCAGCACTAGTCCTTGATGGAACCAGTGATGTGAACTAAAACTGTAGGATGGCGATTAAAAAAAAAAAAAAAAGGTAAAACACTTCCATGTGTAAATAATCTGGGGAGGTTAGGTATTTCTGAGGAACTGGGTTAGAGTTAGGTTAGTCATAATTAAATGTTGTCTTTAAAGTATCTGAATTTTTACACGTGTATATTGACTCTTCTATTTGTGATAAAGAGGGACCGGGAAAGGTAACAACTGTCAGCATCCTCCATCAGTGATGGCAGTGAAAATGTGAGCCCATCGCTTACCCTCTCCAAAGAGGAGCCTGTTATGTATCAGGCAGAGGGATAAAAATGTTTTCTTTATTATTATTATTATTATTTTTTTTTTTTTTGGTACCGGGGATCAAACTCGGGTCCTTTAGCTTGCAAGGCAGGCGTTGGCACCACTGAGCTAAATCCCTGGCCCTTAAAAATGTTTTCTTAATAATCACAGGGCAGATGACCAGCAGAGCTGAAATTGACATATCATTTTTGAGAGCCTGGAATGCCTTGTATCCTAAAAAAATCTACTTCAAACTATTCATTGCCTTGTATTTAATTACTTTATTCAGTTTTTCTTTTACATTCTTCTGTTATAGTAAGAATCCATGAATTAAAGTCAAAGACCTTTTCTTATTTGTTGTATAGCCACAGGTAAATCATAGACCTCACTTGGCTATGAAGGGTTTCTTTTCATGAGAGGGGAAATAATTTCTGCTTTGCTGCACAAGATCACACAAGATGATTATTTGAATTGAAATTTCTGGAAACTATCAAATACTATTTGACCGTTGGTTGGTGGTAAATAATAAATAATAAACTTGTTGAATTCCAAGGTAACTCATAATTTATTTGCTATATGGAATAGTTGTATCTTGAGTACATTGTTATATTAAATCAAGTGTGTATTTTTAAAAAATGAAAATGAGAGCAAGAAACGCTTTTGAATGATGAACCATTTTGTTTACAATTAAACTTGTTGAGCATGAGGTGAAGATCAGCATTTGCTTTTCCCTCAGTCTTCCTCAGTTCCCTCAGCCCTCTTCATTGCCAACTTCCCACCATACTAAGTATCACTGCTGGGTTAATAAATGGGACATGAGCTTGGCATGGTAGGCTCAGGCCTATAGTTCCAGCTACACAAGAGACCGAGGCAGGAGGATCACAATGCCAGTCTGGTGACTTTTTTTTTTTGTACCAGGGATTGAACTCGGGACCTTGAGCTTGCAAGACAGGCAGTGGAACCACTGAACTAAATCCCCGGCTCTAGCCTGGCAACTTCTTGAGACTCTATCTCAAAATTAAATTAAAAGGAATGGATTGTAGAGTTACTTGGCTAATACGCATGAGGCCTTGTGTTCAATTCCTAGACTGACCCCCCCTTTTTACTTGTATTTTTTTTTTTAAACAATGTAATCTGATTCCTAAATGAAAGAATTTTTTTTTTTTGGTAGTGGGATTTGAATCCAAAGCTTCTACACGGAACTACTCCCCAGCCCTTTTTAAATTGGGTTTTCAGTAATGCACTACTACCATGCTTAGCTAAGACAAGTATTCTTCCTAATGCGAAACTGCAGGAACACTACATAAGAGAATTTCAGGTTGAAGACCTTTCTGAGTGACAGGACTTTATTATATTTGTCTTACTTTTTCCTTGCTGTGACAAAATAGTTGAAACCCACAAGTTAAAGGAGGAAAAGTTTATTTTAGCTCACAGTAGAAGTTTCAGTTCATAGTTGGCTGGTAGAGGAGAATAGTCCATGGCAAGGCAGGCAGGCACCACCATGCCCAGTTCCCTTGTCTTTAGTTCTTAATCTGTTCTAAAATAGGCCTTTCCTGTACAGGAATTTTATTTGTTGTATTCTGTACTTGTCTTAATGGAAACTAGTATAGGAATTTCTTTTCTGTTTTGTTGAAGATATTTAAACTCTCAGCAGCGGTCTTTCTTAAAGCAATTGGAAATCCCTCCAAAAGGCCCCCCAAACAACCCAACCTTGATGGTATCAAGATAAGCATCTTTATGATCTTAACAAATCCCACTGAAAGAAAAAAAAAAACTCAGTTTGCTGTTTGTTTTGATTTTGTTCCTTTTGGTCTATGGCCATACCACCCTGAACACGTTTTGAGTTGCCAAATTGGCAAGCCTCACCCTTTTGTCTCATGCAACACTCTCCCCAACAATCTTGAATCAGACAGTAAGTTATTTTGGTATTAGTAAAAATTAAAGATATTCAAGGTGAACTATCTTGACCAGGCTGTTTTTAAACATCCTAAAAATCAGTTTTATAGCCGGGTGTGGTGGCGCCCACCTGTAATCCCAGCACTCTGGAGGCCGAGACAGGAGGATCACTGTGAGTTCAAGACCAGCCTGTGCTACATAGTGAGTTCCAGGTCAGTCTCAACTATATAGTGAGACTCTGTCTCAAAAACAAAACAAAACCAAAAAAAAAAAAAAAAAATTAGTTTTGTGATATATATAACCTATTTTATATGAACACAGAATGTTTTAGTCTTGATCTCATGTTACAAAATGAGAAACTTGTAAAGGAGAAGTTTTTGTATTATGTACATGTGCCGACTCCACACAAGGAATATCATTATTATGAACTCCAAACATGTACTCATAAAAATAATGGAAAGTAAGAAAATCTAACCCCCTTTAAATAAAGATTGCACAGAAAAAAAAATTTTTAGAGCTGCTAAGATAAGGCAAATGTAGCAAAATGTCAGCCAGTTAGTAGTGGCTTTAGTAGAATCTCCCAGAAGATTTTTCAGTTTTTCTGTGACCAAGTTTACTTTTCAGCTCAGCTCCTTATCCACCTTTACAGTGAATATTTAAAAACAGCACAAACCAGAATATCAGTGAGAAACAGGCAAAACACAGCACAATAAATCACCATCTTTAAAATATCAAAACCATAAATTATTTTAACATCAGAAAGTTGTTATTTAGAACCAAATTTCAATCTTGTTTACTAGGCGATGTTCCTAAACAATTTAAGTTGATAGCCTGATCATCTCAGGAACTTATGTGTATTATATCTTTGTTGTTTTAGGTCTATGCTTGGGGCTGTGGGGCTTGTTTGGGTTGTGGTTCTTCAGAGGCCACCGCTTTGAGACCCAAGCTTATTGAAGAACTGGCTGCCACTCGAATCGTTGATATTTCTATTGGAGACAGTCATTGTTTGGCTCTTTCTCATGGTAAAGTCATTTGTCTTTAAAAATATGGCATTAGCTATTATCTTTCTTACATATATTACCTTTAAATTTGTCTTTTGTATTTTTTGTTTTCAGATAATGAAGTTTATGCCTGGGGCAATAACTCGATGGGACAGTGTGGCCAAGGAAATTCCACTGGTCCTATTACTAAACCAAAGAAAGTGAGTGGCTTAGATGGCATAGCTATTCAGCAGATCTCAGCAGGAACCTCACATAGTCTGGCATGGACTGCTCTCCCTCGGGACAGGTAAGCGCACCTCTCTTTTAATAGGCATAGAAACTCCAATGAAAACAAAAATAGCTGGACTTTGTTTATAAAATGTCTTTCTGAACATTTCTATTATTTTTCACTGTCATAGGATGATATCTAGATTCCTTTTCATTTGAACATTGATATGATTCTTAGGCAAGAAGTTTCAGCCTGTATTTCAGAGATTTTCTTCTTTTTTTTTTTTTTTGGTTTTTTTGAGACAGGGTCTCACTATGAGTTGAGACTGACTTGGAACTCACTATGTAGCCCAGGCTGGTCTTGAACTTATAGCAGTCCTCCTGTCTCAGCCTCCCAAGTGCTGAGATTAAAGGCATGTGCCGCCATGCCTGGCTAAGAGATTTTCTTAATTGTCTGCTAAACATTGTTAATTTGTTCTTTATGTTTAGATAAGGGTTTTAAAAATTAAATGTCTAGGTGCCAGGGATTTAGCTCAGTGGTTCCACTGTCTGCCTCGCAAGCACAAAGTCCTGAGTTCTATCCCTGGTATCCCCCGCAAAAAAATTAAATGTCTATAGCAAGAGGAAAATAAACAATTACAATCAGAATTAGGCTTCATTGATTTAAAACAATTATTAAGCTCACTACTCTTTATCTAGTATTTATGTGGAAAAATTGTGATCATACTTTTAAATTAAAGAAGCATTTTTTGGGCAGAAATTTAGCTTTTTTCTAAAGTGATAACCATGTCTTTTAAAGTAATTAGGTAGTGAGTTTTTTAATTCAAAAAAGGAGTTTGAATTTTAAGGAATGGTTGAGGTACTTCAGAGATTTGTAGTTGTGTGTGGGCTGATTTTCTTATGCTTTCCCTAGACAAGTTGTTGCATGGCACCGACCTTACTGTGTAGATCTTGAAGAGAGTACCTTCTCACACTTGCGTTCTTTTCTTGAGAGATATTGTGATAAAATAAACAGTGAGATTCCCCCACTGCCTTTCCCATCATCAAGGTATGTTATACAGAAAAGTATATGCATTTTGTGTGTTTGCGTGGGCATGCATATGAATTATTCTTTTTGACATTTAACTTACTATTCTTTCTAGCTTTTCTCCAAATTTCTTAAACTTTTTTAGATTCTAGAACAGAGCTAAATTTTTTTTGTTGTTTTTGGTACCGGGGATTGAACTCAGGTCCTTGCGCTTGCAAGGCAGGCTACCGAACTGCTAAGCTAAATCCCTGGCCCTAAATTTTTATTCTTAAAATAACGTCTATGTTTTAAAATATTATCTATAGTTTCACAAGTCATGTTTTAGAAATTATAGTCAATCATGACTTGACAATGTTTTTTTTTTTTTAATTTTTATTGAGTTTATTGGTACAATCTAGGTATACAATACAATTACATTCATTATTGGGATCCTGTACCTTTACATGATAGGTCTTGATTCTCATTTTTTTCCCCTTGTCCCTGCCCTCCTTTCACCCCCTCCTCCCTTCCCCATTTACAAACACTTTATTTCCATTTTTTCATTTTCTCATATTTTTTCCCTCTCCCTTATTACCTTTCCCCCACCCTTCCCACTTTCCCTACACCTTTAGCTCTTTACTTCCTATTTCACATTATTAATTATCTCATTAGGATCCTGTGTACTATTATAGTTTTTCGCACCAGAGAAACTATTCGGTATTTCAGTTAAAGAAATCTCTATATGAACATTAAAAATAGGGAATCCTAAAATAAAACTAAAAAGGAAAGTAAAAGAGAAAAGGCAATGATGTAAAATTAAAATAATCCTTAATTCTGAAGATGAAAATGGTCCTTGAACATATTTAAATTGCTTCTTACTCTTGTAGTCTTATATTATTATTTTTTCATTATTTACAGAATATATTAGTTTCTGTGACAACGTTTTTAATGAAGAGTGTTACCCAGAATGGATGGCCCATGTACTTGTATGTTCTGGGGATTAACAGTAGTATATTTGGTTTCAGGGAACATCACAATTTCCTCAAGCTGTGCCTGAAGCTGCTTTCGAATCACCTTGCTCTCGCACTGGCAGGAGGTGTAGCTACCAGTATTCTTGGGAGGCAGGCGGGTCCACTTCGAAATCTCCTCTTCCGGCTGATGGACTCAACTGTTCCTGATGAAATCCAAGAGGTACAAGAATAGGGCTGTGAGTCTGTAGCTCAAGTCACATCCTTCCCTGAAATTTGAGCAATGTGATGTATTCAGCTGTACAACTTCATTGAATGTTCATTCTCTTATTATCTTCATGGGAGTGAGTATTTTGGATAATTCATCCTTTTATGAGAAAGGTCAGATGCCACCTCTGAGAAATCTTTCAATCCTTGACTCTCACTAGATTGGGCGTCTCTCCTGTATGTTGTCATTGTGTCACATTGTATTATAGTTATAAACATTTCATTTACAAACATGTGCATCTTTTTTGCCACAAGATGAATTTCTGAGGGTAAAGCATGTTATATGGAGACCAACACTCTGATTTCACTAATAAAGAAGTCATGACCCAGAGAAATGATAGTGTAGCTAGCGATTCCTTATGCCGTTCCCTCTACCTGGACCTTTATCTAGCTAAGGTTGCTAACTCTTTAATTCTTCAATGCCTAATCTTCAGAGAGACCTTCTGGGAGTCTGTGGGCCATGCTATTTGTCTTTCATGCAGATTCTCACTTCTGTATAACTTATATGAGTCTTTGCACAATTATGATTACTTGCTCAGTCTCCCTCCCATCAGACCATATTGTCATGAAAGTAGAACCTTTGTCTTAGTTATTTCTGTATCACTTTGCATAGTTCTTTCTATAGCCAGCACTGTAAACTCAACCTTAAATATTTGTTGGGTGATAATTAACTATGTAGTAACAAATCCAGAATTTGTCTTCTTGGCTTCTTAAAGATACCTAAAGATGGATTTGCATGGTTTCTTTTTGCACATTTCAACTTCTTTAGATTTCCATGATCCTGATAGTAGATTCACTTTTCAAGCATTTTTATTTAAAAGTTAACCGGCCAATCAATGCTCTGTTCTTCTTTGATATTAGGTGGTAATTGAAACTCTGTCAGTTGGAGCAACCATGCTATTACCTCCATTACGAGAACGGATGGAGTTACTTCATTCTCTTTTACCCCAAGGACCTGATAGATGGGAAAGCTTATCTAAAGGACAGGTAACCCTTTGTGTGACATTTAAGTAACCTAATTTTATCATAAAACATTGGCATGAGAGGGAAATAAAGCTGATCAGCTGCCATGTGTTCATGAGGTACTGCTTGATGGATCTAGTTATTTAATGTTATATATTAGAAGAATTGCAGATGTGACTGCAGGTAAAGCAAATAATAATAAATTAAATTACTTGGGGATAATTACTAAATTAAGAGCTAGTTTCTCCAGTGTTGATTACTGTGTTAAACCAGAGACCCTTTGCTTTATTTGTAGTTTGTTGAGTAAAAATCAAAGGTATGTGCTGCTACTGTAGATTCCACTTACAGAACTTTGTTAATTGGTTTTTTTTTTGTTAATTGTTTATCTAAAAAGCAAAAGATAACCATTAAGGAAAAGTATGTGAGGATATGAATACTTATTTTTTTCATTTCTCGTATTTTAAGTATATTAAAATAGGTATATTTTGCTAAACTAAATAGAAGAATCAGTTTTCGAGATACAGACTTGAAGGGGAAAGTGGTACTTAAAGTATAACATCCACAGATACTTTCCAATGAATATTTTGCATTAGTTTAAATTCAAATGAATTATTTTAAACATTTAAATAAGTATTTGTCATTGGTAATTCTTTAACATAGTATAATTTGTCGGTTGGCATTTCCTGTTCCTATTTATAATGCTTAAATTATTATGCACAATATGCCATTTTAGCTTTTATAAGAAGATACAATCAAAACCACTGAGTTATATTTCTCTAAATAGTATTAATTGGATAGTTTTTCTTATACAGTTCCTGAAGATTATTGCTTATCAGGCTATTATATAATTAGTTAGCATCATTAGTATAATATTTTCCTAGGATCCTTTTTTTTTAATCTCATGTTAAATGCTAATTGTGTATTCGTGTTTCATTGTTCTTTAGAGAATGCAGCTGGACATCATTCTGACAAGTTTGCAAGATCACACTCATGTAGCCTCCCTGCTTGGCTATAGCTCGCCCTCTGATGCTGCTGACCTCTCTTCTGTGTGTCCTGGCTATGGAAACCTGTCAGATCAGCCTTATGGCACTCAGAGCTGCCATCCGGACACCCATCTGGCTGAGATTTTGATGAAGACCCTCTTAAGAAATTTAGGATTTTATACAGTAAGTTGCTTTTTCATTGTAGTAAAAAAAAAGAATAAAAGAGTATCTCCTCATATCAAGTATTTTGACATTTAAAAACTTAAGGTATAAATTAAACTGTAAACCCTCCTGTTTCCCCAGAGAGAAAAACATGTCAGGTCTTCTGAAATGTTATGGGGCCCAATGACATGTAATTGAGAATTACAAAGAGATTTATGTTAGCATTTTACCAGACTTTCTCATATTAATAAAGAAGAATGAGTAGATAAAAGTAGTCAAAAATTTAAAGAGAATAATGAACAAGGTATTCACCTTATCCAGATGCACTCTTATGATAATTCAGTTGGTACTAAAAATAGGCTAGTTAGTAGGAGAGAAGACAGTGAGCCCCGTGGCTTTGTATGTATGAGGGTGCCATTAATTCCTTCTCTCTGTTGTTTCTGAAATCCATCCTTTTTTTTTTCCCCCCTATCAGTAGCTATTTTAGATCCAGCCTGGTCATGATTGATCTAATACTAAAACAGCGGTATAGCTGTTGTCATTGTTGCTGGTTTCCTTTCAGCATCTTATTGCTGGAATAACCTCTTTGTATTAAACCTCTTTGGAGTTTCATCATTGGCTCATGTACCACTAATCAGTACCACTCTTATCAGTGTGCATCTTTGCCATTTTACATGGTACACTTATCTCCTGATTGTTCTTTTTATTGCTCTGACTTCTTTAAGACTTGGCTGTTCTAGGAAGCCTTGCTAAGATAATCCCATCTAACCATGTGATTGATTATAGCTGCGCACTCCTGTTTTGCTGAGCACTTTTAGGACTGGAATATACTGTGGCTTTACCTTGAATTGTTTATATATCATTTCGTGTTGTCTCCTATACCTTTGCAGGGCTGGATTTGTATATTCTTTTTCTCCTGTATAAGTCTGGTATTATGTACTACCCACAGGAAAAGGCTGTTGACTAAGTCTGATAATTGTTCCTATAGAATTTTTTTTCATTCTGGTTTAGGAATGTAAGTTGGATATGATGTTTGGTATTTATAGGAGGTAGTGGCTACAAATTGGACAGGAAAAATGGTATGCTCTGTGCATTTGTTAATGACTAAAAATCTTTTCCAAAGTTCTAAGCCGCCTGTTTGCTATATTAAAGCAGTGGTTTCCTTATGTGATTAAGGCTGAATCAGAAGTGAATTATCTTATGGAAAAAGAAATCAAATAGAGGGCCAGGGATTTAACTCAGTGGTGCCACCGCCTGCCTCACAAGCGCAAGAACCTAAGTTTGATCCCCAGTATCAAAACAAAAAAGAAATAAAATACTAATCATTTTTTCATTGAAATTATACATTATTGTTTGTTTAAAATATAGTTTAAATCAAATTTAGGACTGGGGAATTAGCTCAGTGGTTCTGCTGCCTGCCTTGAAAGCACAAGGTCCTGAGTTTAGTCCCTAGTACCAAAAGAAAAAAAGATAAATCAAATTTGTCATGTTTTAAGACTTTAAAATAAGGATGCTACTTGACAGCTTATAAACAGGGGCCGTAAAATGTCCTCATACTCCTAGTGTATATTATAGACCTAGACCGAATTTTATGCATAAAAATATTTACATTACTTATAATAAAAATTAGAAATATTGGAAATGCCTAAGAATAGAGGAGTGGTTCAGTAAAGTATGGTATATGTGCTCAGTAGAATATCTTATGACTTAAATTTCATGTACATGTGATTTATAAAAATGTAGGAAACATTTCTAAGTCTGAAAGAAAGGCTAAAATTAGAACATACAGTTTTATATAAACGTGAAATAGACTAAAAATAAGCAAACCAAAAAGTACTAGTAATCATTTTCTTAGGATAGTTGGTTAAATGGTAATTTTAACGTATTAAAAATATGTTTTTGGTATTATTTGAATGTTTCATAGTAGGCATCTTTCTAAAAATATTTTTAACTTGAAATAATTTAAAGCTTTATAGAAGAATCATAAGAGTTATTCAGAGAACTCTCCTGTACTCAACCAAATTTGCTGTGTCCATCCTTTTAATTTGAAATCTTTGAAATCTTTGAGTTGCTGATATTATATCCATAATTATGTAGGGTAGATCAGTATTTATTTCTTAATAGCAAGGTCATTCTTTTACATAACAACAGAGAAATTATTAAATTCAAGAAATTTAACATTCATGCTCAACTGTTATCTAATGTATAACCTATGTTTAAATTTTAACCACTTATCAGTCCAGCTATTTAAACACAGGATGACCAGATATTGCTTTTTTTTTTTTTTTTTTTTTTTTTTTTTTTTTTTGGGTTTGT